AAAAAATTAAAGCTAGGGAAATATTACAAAGCTATTCCCTATCTTTTGTCTGAAATTACCGGTAGGCGTATTCCTCATGTCCCAGATATGCAAAGGGCCGAGTGGATGTTTTGTCGGCTGGATAAGGATATTCCCTATTACCCTGACGTAATTTACGAAATATTCCAGCAAATGGACCCCAACCACCCGCTGTTAGAATGGATTCCGAGAAGATGAAATGTGCAGCCGAAATCCCCCTACGCTTTTTTCAAAGCAAATGTCTACTGAGCGAGTTTTCTTTGGAGCTCCTCCTTTGYCTCCTGGTAGATCTTTTTGCGAGATTCCTCGGAAAGATCTTTTACGATGGTTTTTTTATTGCCCGACTTTAGCTCCCCGTATTTCTTTTCCTCCGCGAGGATCAAAGAAAACTCCGTGTCGTCTATGCGGCGGTCCCGCAAAGCTTGGGAGACTAAGTCGGCGATGGTGTTAGCCTTTGCTCTTGCTAGGGCTATGTGAGTGTCGTGCTTGGATATCTTGCCGGATAATTGCTTTATAATGCCTGTCGTAACAGCGGAAACGATGCCGCAGACGGCGCCGACGCTAGCCAAGGGAACGCCAACGACTATTCCAGGTCCGGTGAGTGAGGTAGCAACGCCGGTGCCTGTTAACGCCACGGACATGGAGCCGGAAGTTATCGCTATTTTATGTAGCATGCTTCGGGCTCTGGCGTACTTTTTTCTAACCTCTTCGTAGTGTTTCGCTTGCCCTTCCAAGTAAGCCAGGATTAAGTTCGCCTTGTTTAAACGAAAGTTCTCGGCATTTAATTCGTTGGGGCCCTCCTTAGGAAGTTCAGGATAAAGTGGAGGTGCTGATGGTATGACATCCATTATATATACTAATGTACGACGCCTTTGGGAATAACATAGAGGAGCAGCCACATCATGACAACCGCGATTACTGGAACTGGAGGGCCTTTAGGAAGATGTTTCCACATGCAGACCCCAGTAAGTTTGAAAGAAGACCCGACGGTATTTACTATAACGGCTCTAGGATGTACAGCAATGCGGACTTGGAGCCAACGCTGGTGGGGCAAATAGACAATCAGCTGCAGCATTCCACGCCTACGGTATCTGTGCAGCATCCCACGCCTAAGCCTAAACCCGTGCAAGGTTGGTCAAAGGAATTATTGCTGGGTACCAGTACTTATCCGATACCCGCGGTGTCATTCGATAAACACCCAAGCTTGGACTTAACGTTGAACATGCGG